TAGGGTTGGGCCTTAAGGTCTCGAGCATCGAAACCTCTCTTCTGATATCTTCCAAGTCTGATTTGCTCTGCCGAATGGGGTCAGGATGGGGGAAGAGTGGGGAAGGGAGTGAGTGAGAGAGGGGAGTGATTCAGAGAAGTGATTGAGTGAGGGGAGTGAGTGAGCGAGGGAAAGGAGTGAGGAGGGAAGAGAGTGACTGAGGGATTGGAGCGAGTTAGAGAAGGGAGTGGGTGAGGGAAGTGAATGCAAGGAGCGAGGGGAGTGAGCTAGAGAAGCAGATGAGAGTGAGGGAAAGGAGGGGGGAGGGTTGACACTCAAATCACTATCTTCTAGCAATGAAACTTACCTTGAGATTTGCCTTGCAGATTGACTTGCACGCAAACTGCTTCCCCGTTTGTCTGCACTTGGCCATCCGCGTCACGCCAAACTGGCCCGCCCCAAGTTCCTGATCCATCATGACGAAGTATTTCTTCTCAATCGCGGAAAACTCCCTTCCAAGAACGTTTTCCGTCAAGCCGCCCCCTCCTCCCAACATCCCCGACAGTTGCGACAGTCCGCGCATCGCAAGCCCTAAAATCCCCTTTCCGCCACCCTTGGCTTTGTAAAACGCGGATCGGATCTCCTCCACACTGCAGACTTCGTCGTCTAGCGCGGCAGTCGCGGCGGCCGCGGCGGCGATGGAACCAATCCCGCTAATTCCGCCAGAAGCAGCGGACGAAGCGGCGAGCTCGCCGGAGAGGGAGGAGAGGGAGCGAGCGACCCGTGCCACGGGCGGAGAGGCTTTTCCGCTGAAAGACGCGGCGCCAGTTGCGGAGAAGGACTTTGGGACCTTCCCTCCCACCGGAGGCCCTCCCGCCGCTCCCCCCGCTCCGGCCGCCGTCGCCGCCGCTGTTCCCGCTGCTGCTGCCCCTACTGCTGCGGCGGCTTGTGCGGCCACGCCTGCCATATCGACCGACGCGGCGCGGGATTTAAGTACCATCTTCCCCAAATGCGCACCGCTCGAGCAATCCAACGACTGTGTGCGCGCCACCGTGCCCTTTCCGCCCCGCGCAGCTGGCGGCGCCTGTTGCCCCGCCGCCAATCGCGGGCCGGCAAGGGCGCCGGCCGGCGCGGAGGACGAGAAATCCGGCCCTGCCACTCCGCCTCCTCCGCCGGCCGCGGGGTTCTTCCGCAAGTTCTGGAGCGACTTGCGCGCGGCTGCGGCGCTTAGCGCGACGGGCTGCGGAGCGCCGGAAACCCGCGCGACTCCCGCCGGGGCGCCAGCCCCAGCGCCAACGGCGGCGGCGGCTGCGGAGGCGGCGGAGCCTGAGACGAGGCTGCCTTGCCGGCTCGGGCCGAGCCTGGACCTTCCTCGAGCAGCAGCAGCGGCTGCTCCATCCCCGTTTGTAGCCTCCCCGGTAGTACTGAAGGGGCCGTCGTTAGTAGCGTCGACGCTGTTACAGCGGCTGACACTTGGAGAACTACTATTGGAGTTGCAGAGGCTCCTGCAATTCCGCGAGTCGGCCTGGAGGTCTTCTAAGGACGCCCTTAATAATTGGTCCACGTTAGAGCCGCTCCGACGGGGCCGCTGGGGGGGAAGGAGCGGGGACGGGCATTGCGGGGACGGGCATTGCGGGGATGGGGATTGCGGGGGAAAGGATGCGCTTGCGGAAGAAATTCCGTCGTTGGGGGAAGCGGAAATGGGGGACGTGGTCGCTTGCGGAGACCTGAGAGCGCCTGACAGCGCCGCTCCGCGAACGTTCCGCTCATCTTCCACGCTCCGCTCACACCACGCCTCCCCCTGTTCCCTTTCTGCCGACTCTGTTCCGCCGTACATATCCTCGTCTTTTGCGTATCCCACCGCAGACGGGTTTGGGCCCCCCTGTTCGCTATAATCACAACCCGCGCCGAAGCGATCGTCATCAATCGAACCACGTGGAGGAATTTCTGGCCGTAGTTGCCCTTCTCGGATGGACCTGCCCCCCGAAACTCGCGGGCTACTATCACCACTGACCTCCTTACATTCAAGCATCCTCGTTAGTGACCTGTTGCTGCTTAACGAACGCGTTTCCGACCCCGTTCCGCTCATCCCACCTCCTCCGACTCCCCCGCCTCCGCCCGTCCCTCCTCCTCCGGACCCCGCAAATTCACCCCGAGAGGATGTGGGCGACCTCATTCCCGCCCCCACGGGGCTCTTCAGCGGGGGCGGGGCCGCATTTCGCGGCGACGCCTGCGGCGGTCCGTGCGGCGACAATTGCGGCGGCAGCTGCCCTAGCGAGCCATACCCTACATCAGCTTCCCCTGAAAATCCGGCCGGAAGACTCACCCGCCGCCCCAAATTTCCAGGTCCGGGCGCTTGCCCCGAAGGGGCTCCGAACCTACCTTGCTGGTTCGGACTCACCGTACCAGCGGCGGTGCTTCGGTTCGGCTGACCGGAAGCTCCCAGAGGAGCCGCGTTTCTCCGCCCAACCGGCAGCGACGTGTTTTTGTTAAGTTGCGGGGAAGCTTCCGGTCCGTGTTGCCCCGACGGCCTGTTTTGCTGCTGAAACTGCGCCGCGTGTTGCGGCGGCTGGCTCGCCCCGTTCTGTTGACACGTCATCCCGGAAGACTGCCTCTGAATCTTCTGTGACAAAGCCGGAGCGCCTTTCATCTTAGAGAGATTAGGGTTCACCAGCTGCTGCATATCGTAATTCGATAGACGCGGCCTCTCCTTCTTCTCTTTCTTGTCGTTTTCCGGGGGAGGCTGCTTCGCGTGCAGATCCGGCCGGTTCAGTTTCCGCATAAGCTCCTGCGCCTTTGCCATTTGAAGCTCCGCTTTCGTCGGCGCCGGTTGCTGCGCGCCTTGCGGCGCGAGCTGCGGTCTCACGTTCATCGTCACACTCGCCGCCCCCGGCGCGGCGCCATAGTGGCTGGGCGGCTGGTAAGAACCAAGCGCGCCACCAGCGGCGGGAGCTAATCGTCGCTGGGAGCGTTGTTGCACGAGAGCCATCTGCGGTTGATTCGTTGAAACAACTCGTTTGTGCGCGACTCGTTGCTCTGAAACACCAGATCGACGATTTATGGAGCGAGTCGCTAATAATACTGTCCTAATTTCAATGCGAGGGGGAATGGTTCAGGACGGTCGTCGCGCCACTACTAGAAGCGAAATTCCAGTTCGGAACATCTTATTGATGCAGCTCATTGAGCATTTGACGGGAGAAAATTCGACGGAATGAAGAGCTCAACTTTTCACCTGAACCACGATAGAAAGCTCAACTTTCACCTGGAAATTCGACGAAATGGAAAGCTCGAACCCACGTTGTCGAAGCTTGAATGGCGGGAACAGAAGACCCAGTGGCTCCAGAGTTGCATGTTCTGGCTCTTGTGGTTGGAAGCTACTTACGCAATTCCCCATCGATACCGCGCGGAACCGAGGTTTCTGAAGGTGAAGATTCGGATGCGACGCGTGCACGCGACGCGGTTCAGGTTGGGCTTTGATTTTGTGGGGGAGGTTTGGCGGGTGGGTTTCAGGACGACGGATGTTGCCAGTTGTGCAGCCTGGATGGTTTGGATGCATCCGCGCCGATTTGGATGAAACGAAATGATAGGGCCTTGCGGATACGTCACGGCACAACGACACGGTGGATCTTGTACCCTGAGGAGGTGACACGTTCTCTTTGCAGATGAATCATGAGAGTGTTGCCAGTCACAGACATCCATGTTTCCGTATCAAATCAGTTTGTGTCGGCGTGCGGGAAACGATTCACGTCATGTAGCAGTGAGCAACTGTGCAAGCAGCAGCAGCCGTTCACTGAGGGTCCGTCATGCGCTTCATTTTCCAGACGGGCGTGGTGCATAGACGTTGTAGTCTGGTTAATACAAAATTATTTACGGTTCAGACTGGTGGGCTCCATGCTACAGTCAAGCAACAGTTTGCTCCGTTTCATCTCCTCTGGCAAAAGGACACCAGAAGTGGCACTGGCAAAGCCTGACGCGGTCACCAAGAACTGCATCCAGTGTAACAGTGCTACTCATCAATGCGGCAGCAGGGGCAGGTGGAAGCGTGAGGTGGCAACAGGTGGTACCACGCAGGCCAGCGTGGTCGGTCCTCTTTATTAAAGGACCAGGTAAAATGCGAGCCTGGCACCAGCTCAAGTGAAGGCACAGCTGTTGTACTATGAAGGTACATGTCTTTTCCAGTGTTATTTAGAGAAAGTATGAATGTAGAATAGCATTTCCTTACCAACAGTACAACATTCAAAATGGCTTTATGGATCACTAAGGCGCTTTCAAGTGCAAAAAACAAAAAAGGAGAAGGGTGAGTTGAAGTTACATGGGAAATGGTGTGAAACGAGAGAATCTAAGGGTGTGAAACATTATACATCTAATGAAAAACTGTGGCTTATACTTTTCCACAGAAAATAGTTTTGTTGGGACAGACCAGACAGTGTCAGAAAGGGAGCATCGCATACATATCAGCAAGTTGCAGACGATGCAGCAGCGGATTGGATGGTGCAGATGAGACGACAGATCAGATGGTATGTCAAGCTGGACCCAGCTTCTTGTGCTGGTACCATTGCTTCTGATTGTGCTGGCACTCTTGCTGCTGATACTCCCACCGATGCCACACCCAACTTTTGAGTCGACTCAAAAGCCATCTGTTGTGGTGATGCTACTGCCACCGATGCCACTCGCGCTTCAGAAAACCCAACCAAGGTGCTTGGGTAGCAGTAGCAGTGAACCGGCCACTACTTCAAATTTCCCACTTCCTCTTCTCCTTCCTCCCTTCCTCCTCTCCTTCCTCCCAACCATCCCTCCTGCTCTCGCTCCTCCTCTCCCACACTACCACACCCTCCTTTTCCGATTTGCACCACACACATTACCACATTTGATGAAAGCACAGTTGAAGGTGTATGTACGTCGTTGAATGCTCTTATCCATCTACTGACTTGATTGAGAGGACCCTGATTACTGTCTTCTTCATTCACGTGTTTTGAAACAACGTGGCTCCCTGTTTGTCACATTCCCAATACAGACTCCCATTAAGTTAACGCTTTAATCCATGGGTGTTCTGTTGGGAACAGAAGAGGGAATGAGAGAGGGAATGGGAGAGGGAATGAAGAGGGAATGAAGAGGGAATGAAGAGGGAATGACAGAGAAAATGAGAGAGGAAACGAAGAGGGAGAATGAGAGAGATCCTGAGGGAGGCAATTAGAGAGGGAGGCAATGAGAGTGGTAGGGGTGTAACAGGAGAGAGTCGAAGCCACGCAAAGGTCGAAGCTGCATTTCCCGGGGCATCGACAGGCGCTCCTTTTCCCAAATTCCCCCCACAGAAACATCTAGTCCACCCGCTCATGACCCCACCCCCAACACCAACTCACTGAGAATCTCAGCAACAGTTGGCTCATACTTGCGGCACAGCATCCGTCTGACCAAGTCCTTGCCAGCGGTGCTAATCACGGGCCAGGGCTGGGTGTCAAAGTCGAGCTCCTGCCACAGGATGGTCTCTCACCTGCCCCTCCTCCTCTGTGGTTCTGTGCGGTTCGGTTCGGTGCTCACAACGGACCAGGGCTGGGTGTCAAAGTCGAGCTCCTGCCACAATATGCTCTTGAACCCGCCCCTCCTCTGTGGCTCAGTGCGATTCGGTTCGGTGCTCACAACGGGCCAGGGCTGGGTGTCGAAGTCGAGCTCCTGCCACAGGATGCTTTTGAACCCGCCCCTCCTCCTCTGTGGTTCAGTGCGGTTCGGTTCGGTGCTAACCACCGGCCATGGCTCGGCGTCAAAGTCGAGCTCCTGCCACAGGATGCTCTCTCACCCGCCCCTCCTCCTCTGTGGTTCTGTGCGGTTCGGTTCGGTGCTCACAACGGGCCAGGGCTGGGTGTTAAAGTCGAGCTCCTGCCACAGGATGCTCTCTCACCCGCCCCTTCTCCTCTGTGGTTCAGTGCGATTCAGTTCGGTGCTCACAACGGGCCAGGGCTGGGCGTCAAGAGCCAGCTCCTGCCACAGGATGCTCTTGAACACGTCCTCTGTGGTGTCTCTCACCCCCCCGCCCTCCTGGGTTCCCCAGGCCGATTCCACCCCAGATTTTCCCTTCAGAAGCATAGAGCCCACCCACCTAACCCAAACACCGACTTACTCAGAATCTCAGGCCACTGTAATCCTCCGCTCGTACTTGCGGCACAGCATCCGTCTGACCAAGTCCCTGGCAGCAGTGCTCACAACCAGCCAAGGCTCCGTCTCGAAATCCAGCCCCTGCCACAGGATGCTCTTCAACACGTCCTCTGTGGTGTCCCCTCAGAAGGGTTGTTTAGTCCGGTTGGGTAAGGTTAGGTTCCCCAGCCCGATTCAGCCCCAGATTTCTCCCGGACTTACTCAGAATCTCGGCGACAGTAATCCGCCGCTCATACTTGCGGCACAGCATGCGGCGAACGAGGTCCTTGGCAGCGGTGCTGACCACGGGCCATGGCTCTGTCTCGAAGTCGAGCTCCTGCCACAGGATGCTCTTGAACACGTCCTCTGTGGTGTCCCCCCAGAAGGGCGGCAGCCCGCACAGCAGCACATACAGGATCACCCCCGCACTCCACACGTCCGCCTCTGCTCCGTAGTTCTTCGCTATCACTTCTGGAGCGATGTAGTTGGGCGTTCCTGCCCTCAGCTTGCAGCGCTCGCCTAGGAAGGGAGTGAGGGAGTGAGGGAGGGAGGGAGGGAGGGAGGGATGGCTCTAGGTTAAAATACACTGCACCTATGCTTATAATCGGGAAAAAAAAACCTCAAAAAGTACCCTTGATAATCAAGGGCGAAACGGACCGTACCCGATTTCAAGATGCACGCCATGCCGAAGTCAATCACTTTAACCCTTGTATCACTCCTCTTCGACACGAGCAGAATGTTCTCGGGCTTTAAGTCCCGGTGCACGATCCCTCGTGCTTGGCAGTAGGCCAGAACCTCCACCACGGAGCGAATGACCCGCGCGGCCTGCCTCTCCCCGTAGTACTTGCGGTCGAGAATGCGATCGAAGAGCTCTCCTCCCGCACACAGCTCCATCACTATGTGCACCTCCTGGTGGATGTGGGGGAGGGAGGGGGAACATGGGCGGGTGGGTGAAATAAACCACGTGATAAAAGTAGAGTTTTGAAACGTCTCAAAACTGTTGGGTGTGGGGGAGGGAGAGGGGAAAATGTGTGGGTGGGTGAAATCAACGATGCCACCTGCCTTCGGGATCAAAAAGCTCTCCGCCTCCACACAGCACCATCACTATGTGCACCTTCTGGTGGGGGGGAGAAGGGGGGAGTGGGGAAGCATCAGTATGCGCATCTCACTAAGGGGTGGCCCCTCAGCGTGTCACATCTGCTTCTTACTAAGCATCGCAAAGAAATGTGGGCTTCAAGAAAATACCCCAACAGCAACTAGTACCACTCACTCACATGTTCGTCTTTCATTGTCGCAACACTTAACACCACAAAGGGCCGGCCCTTCAGTGCCATAGAGTGTCTTTGGTTGGGTGCGTCCATTGAGATTGTTTTTGAGGCGCCTCAAAAACCAACTCAACAACACAAAGGGGTGGCCCCTCAGTGCCTTAGATTGTCTTTGGTTGGGTGCCTCAAAAACCAACTCAACACCACAAAGGGGTGGCCCCTCAGTTCCTTAGATTGTCTTTGGTTGGGTGCCTCAAAAACCAACTCAACAACACAAAGGGGTGGCCCCTCAGTGCCTTAGATTGTCTTTGGTTGGGTGCCTCAAAAACCAACTCAACAACACAAAGGAGTGGCCCCTCAGTGCCTTAGTTTGTCTTTGGTTGGGTGCCTCAAAAACCAAGTCAACACCACAAAGGGCCGGCCCCTCAGTGCCTTAGATTGTCTTTGGTTGGGTGCCTCAAAAACCAACTCAACACCACAAACGGATGGCCTCTCAGTCTCTCAGCGTCTCAGTGCCTCTGTGGGCGTGCTGGAAGCCTCACCTGCTCGTCTTCCATCGTCTGAGCGATCGACACCACAAAGGGATGGCCTCTGAGTGTCTCGGGGTGTCCATGGGTGTGCTTCAAGTCTCACCTGCTCGTCTTCCATCGTCTGAGCGATCGACACCACAAAGGGATGGCCTCTGAGTGTCTCGGGGTGTCTTTGGGTGTGCTTCAAGTCTCACCTGATCGTCTTCCATCGTCTGAGCGATCGACACCACAAAGGGATGGCCTCTGAGTGTTGCAGGGTGTCTTTGGGTGTGCTTCAAGTCTCACCTGCTCGTCTTCCATCGTCTGAGCGATCGACACCACAAAGGGATGGCCTCTGAGTGTCTCGGGGTGTCTTTGAGTGTGCTTCAAGTCTCACCTGCTCGTCTTCCATCGTCTGAGCGATCGACACCACAAAGGGATGGCCTCTGAGTGTCGCAGGGTGTCTTTGGGTGTGCTTCAAGTCTCACCTGCTCGTCTTCCATCGTCTGAGCGATTGACACCACAAAGGGATGGCCTCTGAGTGTCTCGGGGTGTCTTTGGGTGTGCTTCAAGTCTCACCTGCTCGTCTTCCATCGTCTGAGCGATCGACACCACAAAGGGATGGCCTCTGAGTGTCTCACCCTGTGCATCTCCCTAACATGACTCAACAAATGGCCCCATAACTGTCACTGCCCACACTCACCTGCTCGTCTTCCATGGTCTCAACGATTGACACCACAAACGGATGGCCTCTGAGTGTCTCAGGCCGGCATATCTTCAACACGACCCAATGAATGGCCTTGCAATAAGTATTACCACTCACATCTTCATCTTCCATGGTCTCAACGATCGACACCACAAACGGATGGCCCCTTAGCGTCTCAAGCACGCTCACCTCCCTCCTCACATCCTCCACGTCGTCCCAGCACTGGGGGGAGGGGAGGGGGGACCAGGGAGCAGAAAGGGCAGGGAACCGAGGGTACACAGGGAGCAGAAAGGGCAGGGAACCGAGGGTACACAGGGAGCAGAAAGGGCAGGGAACCGAGGGTACACAGGGAGCAGAAAGGGCAGGGAACCGAGGGTACACAGGGAGCAGAAAGGGCAGGGAACCGAGGGTACACAGGGAGCAGAAAGGGCAGGGAACCGAGGGTACACAGGGAGCAGGAGGGGAAATGAGTGAAGGGCAGTGTGAGTTTTCAAAGCGACTCGAGCACGCTCACCTCCCTCCTCACATCCTCCACGTTGTCCCAGCACTGGGGGAACAGAGGGGCCACAGGGAGAAGTCAGAGGCAGAGAGAGTAGAGGGGGTACAGGGGCGGGGCCACAGTTGTCAAAGCGACGCCAGCATGCTCACCTGCCTCCTCACGTCCTCCACGTAGTCCCGGCACTGGGGGATAGAAGGGGATTAGCCGCAGAGGGAGCAACGGAAAAATGAGTGGGGGGAAGGAAGACTTGTCAAAGTGCCTTCAGCACGCTGACCTGCCTCCTCACATCCTCGACGTAGTCCCGGCACTGGGAGAGGGGGACGAAGGGGAAGGTTCAGCAAGTTTATAGTGGAGGAAAGTCCTGGCGTCCCTATAACAAGAGGGCAAGCAGCAACGGTCAAACTTTCCTGCCACAAGAACCCTACCAGAACTCCCCTTCCCTAGCTCCTTGTACTGTGTATAGCCGAACTATAGTGGGACAAGGAATGCTCTGTTTGAGCAAGCCTAAATGTTATAACAAGCAGAGAAAGAAAGCAAGCAGCAATGCTCACCTCGAAGGCGTTTGTGATAAACTTGCAGGCAAACAGCTTCTCAAATCTCAAAATCAAATATCTCCTCACCTCGAATTTAGCCTTGGTGATGCTCTTGCATGCAAATTGCTCCCCAGTCTGCAAATTCTCCCCCACGTGGATCACTCCAAAGTTCCCCCGCCCTAGCTCCTTCTCAGCTAGTTTGTACTTCTTCCTGATATCCGAATAAGGCTCTCCCAGCACATTCGCACGAGTCGGCCCTAGCTCCTCTGCTGCAGATTCCTCCTCGCCCATCCCCTCTCCCCCCTCCGTTTCCCCCCCGTCGATTCGGTAGTAGTCGCTAGGCTGGGGCGTCCGAAGCGGGAAGCCAGCTTCGGCCCGAGCCGAGGCTCCAGCTTTGGGGGACGGGATCGGCGTTCCGTGATTCCAATTGGCAAACATGCTCTGGATTTCGGCCAGCTTGGCTTGGTCCCGATCCTCCTGCGCAGCTAAGGTACCGGGGCTAACCACCATACTTCCCCCGCCAGGAGTCATAGCCCCGGGGGTCACAAACCCGGTACGGGAACTCACTTGAGACAGCATGGGGGAGCCTAGTAACGGAGAGCCTACTAACGGGGAGCCTACTAGCGGGGATCCCATGCGTGGGCTGGCATAGGGGCTAGCATAGGGGCTGGCGTGGGGACTGGTAGAAGGTAGGACGATTTTGGGCTTGTGTGGGCTTTGGATTGGAATTGCTTTTGACTTTCCTACAGGGTTATCCCCAACCTCTGTTCTCCCTCCCCCCCCTGGGGTAAACGCCTCCCTTCCTTCCTTCTCAGATCCCCCTCCTGTTCCGCCTCCCCCTCCCCCTCCTCCGCCTAGCCCTCCCCCTCCCCCTCCCCCTCCCCCTCCCCCAACTCCTCTGGTTACTCCCCCGGGCCCTCCCCCCATCCGCATTCCCCCAGCGCGGGGGGGACCCGCATAGGGGCTCCCCCCGCCTGGAGGGCTTCCGCCCATGCCCCCTCCGGGGGAACCCCTCCCTGGAATATTAGAGCTGCCAGATTGCGGACTAGAGCCGCTAGCAGGGGAATTAAAGCCGCTCATATGGGGATTAAAGCCCGCCTCTGGATTGAACCAGGCTTCACAGCTAGCAGACCTCCTGTGGCCCATCTTCTTCTTGACAGGCGTTCCCCCTGCCGCGCCCCCCCCTCCGCCACTTGCCCCTCCCCCTCCCCCTGCCCCTGCCCCGCCTCCCCCGACTCCGCTTGCCCCTCCCCCAGGTGCGCCCGCCAGCCACCCGGGGCTTGGGCGCACAGAGTGCCCTCCTGAAGGCGCAGCTCCCCCTCCCCCCATTCCCCCCGCATACCCCCCTGCGCCTGCTGCGGAGCCCCTCTGCGCGCCTTGGGAAGATATTTGCCCCCCTTGCCTGCTGCGCAAGGGGCTCCCATAGGCGGACACCCCCCGTCCCCCTGCTGCTCCCCCTGTCGCTCCGCCTGCTGCGCCTGCGCCGCCCAGATAGGGCAGCACAGGGCTCTTAGGGGGGGTTTTCACAGAGCGCCTGAGGTCTAACGGGCCGCCGTCATAAGAGCGTGAATTCCGCCTGACAGTGGGTATTCCCAAGGGTGGCAGCGGCTGCTGCAATGGCTGCGCGGCCTGCTGCTGCTGCTGGTCGTGGCGGGGAGGGGAGTGCTGCTGGGTTCCTTGCTGCACCTGCTGCTGCTGCTGCTGTGATTGCTGCTGCTGCTGCTGCTGCTGCTGCCGCTCCTTATCACTGCTGGCGCGGGCCTGTCGCCTATCCCAAATGGCCGCTCCCTCTACCACTCCCCCGCCGTATTCCCCACTTGTTCCCCCTCCTGCTCCCCCAACTGCTCCCCCTCCGCTGCTGCGCACCCGCCTCCCCTGCACATCCTCCGCCTCCCCGTCGTACTCATCGTCAGCGGGGCTTCTTACGCCACCCCGCGATCTCTCCCCGTAACTCCCGCCCCTTTTCTCCCCCACGCTCCCCTCGATATTCCCCATGGCGGAAACCTTCCGCCCCCCCCTTCCCACGCCGCTCCGCGGCCCTACTGCTCTGCCCGTTCCGCTTGCGTCCCCCCCACCCGCGCCCACAATCGCCCCTTCGCGCCGGCCTTTCTCCTCGGGGCTGGCGTTCCGTGGTGCGCTACCCGGCCTTCCTGACGGACCGTCAGAATGATTGCTGACGGCTGACGGTCGCGGTTGGGGACTGGCTTGCCGGCGGTTCTCTCCTGCTATGCCGCCCCCTCCCACGACGCCTCCTGGTCCGCCGCTTTGGCTCCGCCTATGCCCGTGCTTAAACGCGCCGATTATTCCAGGCCCCTCCCCCTCACGTCTCGTCTTGTTCCCCTCCGGGATCGCGTGTTTGGGAACTGGGCTCCAACCTGCCGGACCGTCAGTCTGCTCACTGCTAGCCGTCGCTGGCCGGTTGCTTCGACCGGTCGGTCCAGCTCCCGCAGCGAGCGGCCATTCTTGCGGTTTACTACGCGGGGGATGCGCTTGCGGGGGCTGCTTGCCTCTCGAGCCGCTGGCTTTAATTGCCTCTGGCGCGCCGCGATACGCGACGGCGTTCGTTACAGGGGGGCCTTGCAACTCGTCGGTCGCGTCGGCAGCGGAAAACGCGGCGATGACAAACTCCTCAGAGCGGATTCGACGGTGACGAGCCGCCATGGGCTTAGGAGGCTTGCTACCCTCGACCGGGTTCTTTGATTGTGAATAAGCATACCCGCCAGCAGCGCCACTAATACCGCCGAAGCTGCTACTACCGGATAAGCCGTAGACCGCGTTGTTGTTGATGCTGTTATGCGTACTGTTAGCCGTAACATTGCCGTAACCACTATTGTAACCAGCCGAGGTGATGTCGCTGTTACCATCACTGTAGCCGGAGTTACTGTTTCCACCTCCACCCGCGCGCCTGACGCCGCTGTTTACGCTCCTGCTAGGACTGCCGCTGCTGTGGTTGTTGTAACCGTCGATGCTGCTGATGCGGTTGTTGTAGCCGTCGATGCTGCTGATTTTACTGGTAGAGGTTTCGCCGCTTAATTTAGGGGATCCAGGATAAGACGTTTTTAGCGGCCGATGCTGATTGGTTGATTGAGAACGTCTAACCTCCTTTCCAGCACTATGATTAAGCTCCGCATATGGCGGCGATTTCTGCGGTGAATATTGTCGTCCCGAACGAGGCTGCGTACTGTACGCGTTATGGGTGTATCCGTCAGAAGGCTGTTGTCGAGCGTGTTTCATTTCGTCCGGAGAATGCTGCGGGTCTGGCGAATAATCAGGAGACGGAATGACTCCCGAATGCCGACGGCGATGACGGATAGGAGCCTCCGCAACTTCATTTTCTATAATAGCATCTTCGCTTTCACCTCCGACACGAGAACTCGCGCCAGACTGATGGCTGTAAGTTACGGCCTGAAGCCGAGTCCCAGATGCTTGAGTTAGATTCGTCGGGTCGAACTGGAAACTGTCGGACTGGCTTCGTCGATGACGTGGCTTGACAGGCCGAGGAGGAACAGGCGACACCGCACGAGACACGCGCTCCTGTTGTTCCGAGACATCAGGACTGTTCATTTGCGCGACGCGATGTCCCGGCTCCCGAGAATGGTGCGAGCGGGGTCGAGATTCAACAAGGGTGACGTCCATTGTCAGTTGCAAAATATGGAAATGGTTTTGAAATCGGGAGTAATAAGCAGGTGCGATTACCTGCTACTAAGAAACTACCGTAAAACAAGTCGAGCAGATGGTAGTTTCCAAGTCTACTCGACCTGCAGGAATAGTCCGAGAGATCATATGGAAGGAGAGTAGTTGTGAGTGTGTGTCAGAGGTGGAACTAAGAGAGTAGGCTCCTACATAGAAAAGGCAGAAATCGAGGTTCTGTGACAGAAAGACAAAGATTTCTGGGCTGTGCTGGTTCAGCGCAAAATCGAGGTCGCACTGACCGTGCAGATCGAGATACTGGACGGCGAGGATCACTCCGTGCGTCTAAAAGGGTGCACGAGTTGCGGGTTGAGCCAGATTTGGAGCCGGTAACCACGGTCGTCGAAACCGATATCCCCTTGACGACGTTCGCCGATGCAGCAGAAGTTGCGCTTTTGGCGAAAGGCAACTTGTGTTCCACGACGAGCTGAGTTGGCTTCACTCGGGGCTCACAGCACCGTACGAGACCCTCACACAACTCACTAAAACCATCTGTTTTTCTGCAATCGACTCGCCCAATTGGAGAGGAGCATACAGTTTCATAGCACGAGGTCAATTTATTAGAGAAGTAGGGCCGCCACTTGCTTGCGGTGGATTTCGCCAACCCAAAGCGATCACTCAATCGAAGCGCTTGTTCCTCTTCAACAGTCTGCCACAACTTGGAGTGAGGTTAGAAGAGTGAACAGAATAAAATTTTGCACGGGCAAGATCAGAAACGTATTGGCAACCAGCCTTGTGTTGCATAGTGGCCTGGTTGTACAGAACTTTCAACACAATAAGGACGTGTCCAGTGCGTACGTTTACAGGTACTATACAGTCCATTCGTCGAGGTGAGAAACGATATCAGGCGGTGCACAGCGGTTTTAAAATTGCACAGTTTTGAACCTCGACGCACTACAGATTACTGCACTGGATGAACTGTAATGTACGGATAGTGTGAGCGCTGGACCCGTCCTAACGGCTTGTTTTATATTTATATGCAGTTATACACTATAGAAATGTACAAAGCATTGATAGTCGTAACTGTATTTACAGAGTTCGTAATTGTATTTACAGATAAGTGCCACGATACCAGGTGTTGAAACAATTGAAAGGTTATATAAAGCATTCCCGAAGCTGCTCCTCTATACCAATACCGCAATAGCTCATATAGACCATGCGGAATGTCGAGGGTCACCCGAAGGTCAACCGTCTGAGAAAGTCAACGGTCGTGACCTTTGACGATCCAGTAACTGCGCGACAGTTAATTCGCTGCAACATGGTAACTGTCGAGGAAAACAATAGTCGTGGTTACTGTAGCTATGCAATACAGTCAACAAGGGAATATACCCCTCATAGTACATGGCTAGCTAGATTTCTATTTAATCTCTTGTACTCCTATCTTTCAAATCATCTTGTTCTCTTTCAATTATTATTCAACAAGGTCACTACAAAGACTTCTTTGTCTCCTCTCAGACTTAACAGATTTTATCCTATCTACTGGATCCTTTAGTTATATCAGCATGGTATAAGAGCAAGAGTATTTTTGTAAGATCTGCCAAGTCTTAGTTCTTCCTATAACAATCTCATTACAAACGTACTCGATACATTTCTAAGTCTGCAATCTATGGCTCCTGAAGTAAAAGCCACTGCAGACTCACCGGGCCCACCACCAGCAACGACTAACGTGCCTTCAGCGATGACCTCCGTCAGCGCCGCCGTCGTTGAGGAGCTAGTCGCACGCATCAACACCCTTGAAAGCCATCAAGCAATGAGCATTGACGGCTCAAGCTATGCACGTGGCGTTGCTGGACTCCCTCTTTCTGGAGAAGACCGCCGCGTCAACTCCGAGAGATCATTCACCTTAGACAATCGTCAAGGGTCACCTCCTGCACAAGACAACCTACAACGCTCACAGTCAGACATCGCTTCAATACAAACCAAATTTGTATTGACTTCAAAATTGAATACCTCAATCCCTTTCGACGGAAAGGATTTCTACACGTGGAGTTTTGAATTCGAGCTTCTCGCGACAACCGCTCAGATATGGATGTACTACGATGGAAGCCTACCTTTTCCTTCGGAAGGCACTGTGAAGAAATGAGGAATGAGATGAACTAGCAAGCACGTGGGTACAAGTAGGAAAACCTACAAGTATTGTACCCCATATAGTCTACCCCACTACAGCCTACACAGACTATAGCATATGAGTTTGACACACCCCCATAGGCAAAGTGGGGGAGAACAAGAGGTCACAAGACCAGTCAAGCAAAGCAAAGCAAGCTCACGGTGGATCACAACATCACCACACAATCCGAGCACAAGAGCAAGGCCAAAAGGCCAGTTCACATGCAAGATCATATATAAAGGTAAACAAGCAAGTGCAGGTATAGAAAGATCACAGTACAAGCAAGGTCAAGAAGTGAGCAAGTGAGGCCAAGTAGGCACAAGACCTATCATCGTACAGAAACGCTGATGATCACAAGGCGGAAGTGCCTTGGTAAAGATATCAGCAGTGTTGGCCTCAGAGGCCACGTAAGCAAGGCGCAGCTGACCATGCTGCTGCAGCTCACGAGCAAGGAAGTAGCGAAGAGCAATGTGCTTCGTTCTGTGCTCCAGTCTGTGCTCCCGACACAAGGCCACCATGGCCTTGTTGTCTACGTACAGAACTGGAGGAGAACAAGGCGCCTCTACTAGGTCAGTCAGCAGGTAGGTGAGCCAGCGTAACTCCTGTGCAGCCATGGCCCCCGCGTAGATCTCGGCCTCACAGCTGGAGCCGAGAACAAAAGACGAGCGGGTAGACCGCCACTAAACAGAGCCGGAACCAAGGCTGAAGGTGTAACCCTGTGACAACCGCTGCGTAGCCTGGTCGTCAGCCCAAGAAGCGTCAGCGTGACCTGTGAGGACCACTCGACGTCGCCCTCCAAGCACTAGCCCCATGCCCGACGTACTGCACAAGTAGCGCAACACCCTCTTCGCTGCAGCCATGTGCTCTAGTCGGTGTCTCCCAGGAGCAACATAGCGTGCCAAGATGCTAAGAGGGTATGCAAGGTCAGGTCGTGTGCAGGTCATCAGGTACATGAGGCAGCCAACAAGCTCTGGGTACGGGCCACTCGGCTCTACGGACTCATCCGAAGGCAGAGCTGAGAGCGAGTGGCGAGTAGACAGAGGAGTGGCCTGAGGTGAAGAGTATGTGAAGTCGAAGCGCTGAAGGACCTGCTGCACCATGTGTGACTAATTCAGGGTAATGGTGCGCTGTGCTCTGTCCCGGGTGATCTGCAAGCCAAGGTAGCTGGGCAGTTCACCCAGGTCTGTGCACGTGTGTCTCTTCTACAGCTCGGACTTCACGTGGGCGAATCCAGCAGTGTAAGCAGTAGCAAAGACCAAGTCGTCGACATACACGAGGATGTAGAACGGCGGCAAAGAGGTGTCGGTGATCACAAACAGCGACGGGTCGGCAGTAGAAGGAGCAAACCCAAGAGCCGCAAGTGTAGTCCTCAGTGTGTCGTTCCACTCACGAGGCACCTGGCGGAGACCGTAGACTGGCCGCCGGAGGCTCCACTGGGTACCAGGGGGAAACGACCCAGTGAAGCCAGGTGGGCGGCGCAGCCAGATCTCCTCGTGCAGGCTGCCCTGCAAGAAAGCTGTGCTGAAGTCAAGAGAGTGAAGCTCGTAGTCGCACTTAGTGGCTATGTGCAGTAGCACCCGAAGAGTGGTCATCTTAGGGGTGGGAGAGAAGGTCTGAAAGTAGTCAACTCCCTGCCGCTAACTGAAGCCTCGATCAACGTAGCGCGCCTTGAAGACAGACGGAGAACATGGCGGCCGCTTCACCCTGAAAATCCACATGCCACTGACGATGTTCGCCCCAGGTGGGGGAACCTCGTCGACGTAGGTGCCTGTGGACTTCCAGGAAGCCATCTTTGCGTCCATGGCCAACTGCCACTGAGAGGAGGAGGCACCCTCGATCGCCTCAGCGTACGATCGAGGATTCG